CATAAATAAAACCATACAGTACATGGTCCTTGTTCTCTTTTATCTTCATTATAATTGAAGGCTCTGAAAAATGGGTTTTAACAGCTGTGGAGAGCCTTCTGATGCTTCTTAAGGTGTCCCGCCCCAGCACCCGGTTCTGCCCAAAGGGCACTGGATATACTGTAAGAAGTATCTGAAAGTAGCTTCCTTCCTCTCCTCCAAGGAGATTGGCCTACAGGCCTGTGCCAGGCCTCCCACCTAGTCAGCTGATTCTGTGCCAGGCCAGCATGCCTGGGCTGGCCCAGAGATGCCTGTCCTCTCTGGGATGGTCATTTCTGGCTCTATTTGACTGATTGATACACCCACTGTCAGGAACATATGCCCAGTCAGAAAGCCTTTTCTGTGAGGTTTGGTCAGCAGACCACAGCCCTGTCCAGCTGTAGGAATGCCATCCTTCTGGGCTTTGAAGCTTTAAGCCAAGGAGTCAGGTGTTAGCTCCAGTACCGAGGCCTGTCTTAGATTCCAGGCTCCTGGATCCTTCTCCAGCACTGGCTCCATTCACCTGGCATTGGTGTAAGAGCAACGTGAGACTGGAGCAGACCTCCTCTCTGTTCCTAGGCACCTCATCTCCCCCCGCCCCCATCACCTCCAAGGTCTGTGTCTGGTCTGATTCTTGCCTTTTGCCGGCTCTCTCTCGTCCCCCTTCTGCAGCTGCTTCTGCTCAGTCATTTAGGGATTTTGTATACATTTTCACTTTCTTCTTGTTGTCTTCTCTGTTATAAGGAGCCAGCTGACCTAGAAGGAAAGGATTAATTATAGCTCTTGTTGACCAACATAAAATGAAGCTCACACTTAAAAAGTTAGGTCTTCAGAGGAACACCTACTCACAGCATGCTGGTTCCTTTCACTGAGCTGTGACTTTCCAAGCCTGTGCGTTTCACAGGTCTCTAAAGGCCTCTCTGACTTTCTGCTGCTGCTATAGAGACTCTCAGCATGTGACCCTCAGGCTACTCACTTGAGCCCTAATCCTCTTTAGGAATTCCCCTTCCATCAGACAGGATTTGAGAGGAATCTTAAAGCTAATTGGGAAGGACACACAAACATGAGAGAAGACGGAATCTCCATGTTGAATCCCTGAGTGATGAAGTCAAAGTTGGATGCAGAGCTTCCTCATTGACTAGCTCCTTTGGGTTCATGTCTGTGAGCCCTGATTGTAGCTCTTAAAAGGGTCAGTGGGTTATGCCTGCCCTTGAAGACCAAATGCTGTCCTTCCTATGGGTCATTGTGAATGTCTGCATCCCAACCTTGGAGCTGTTGTGAGTCTGGAGCCACTTCTGTGTGAGTATTTTAGCCCTGGGCCTCCTCTCCATCAAATAGGAAGGCCCTTTCCCTTCCCATACAGGCCTCGATTCTTGGACAGGGAGCTGAGCATAAATGAGGGACTGATGACCACAGCTGGCTTGAGAAGCCACTTGTAAGGCTCAGGAATATTCTGAGCCAGTCTTCTAGCTGATAGTACCTGTGCTATAGACCTAAACTTTTATGATTCCCTTGATCATATCATTTGGCCCACTGCTTATCTGTCTGCCTCATCCCTTAGAGCCTTTTTTCATCCTGTGGAGTGGCCTTTGTTGGCAAACTCACCCCTGTCTCCTTTTCCCACTCTGCACTCACACAAATACTTCATAAGAGGATTCTATTACATTTGACAGTTCAAAAAACATTCTGAAAGGTGTGACTGTTCTAAATGGATAGGGAAACCTATTGCTATAATGATGGCGGTAGCTGACATTTGTTGCCAGTATGCTATGGGTTTTTCATTCATTGTCTCATTTAATCCTCACGACCTACCAGTTATACTGCCCATGACACAAATGAGGAAACTGAGGTTTAGAGATGTCATTAGGCCAAAGCCACATAACTAATAAGTGGAGAAGCTGGCACTCTAGGGATAAAAATGTGTGTGTCTGTTACAGTTGTGCACGTGGCTTGGTCTGGCAATAGGTGCTTGATAATACTTTAGTGAGTGAAGTAGCAGATGCACAGGATGAAGGTGCTTAGTGAGGAGGAGCTGGAATGAGAGCTGGGTGTCTTCGCCACTCCCTGAAGAGGAAGAGCACTCTTGTTAATGGTGGGGACTGGCAGATGTGCAAGGCTCTGTTCTCTTCATCTAGAAACCTGAATACCCAAGGTACTGCAGCATTTCACTCAAAGAAGCCTAGAAAATTAGCTAAAAAGACTGGACATTCCTGTAATCCCAGGGGAGGGAAGGGAAGATATACACTCTGCTCATCTACTGTCCTACTGGTCTTGGTGGTAATAACAGCTGCTTTAGTGTGCACTGCCCTTCCCTACTTCCAGAATCATTCATAGGAGGCCCAGCTGTAGGACGGAAGGAAGGAGGATAATGTAGTTCAGGTTATTGTGGTTGTGAAAGCAGAAACCACCTGATGAGTTTTAAATACAGTGTAAACACTGAGACAACTTACTGAGTTGAAGGAGACCTTGCTCTACCTGTGTTGGAGAGAGGCCATAGAACCAGATCTGTTCCTCGGGCTTCCCCTCCAGCTTGCCATTGTTCATGGGACTTGGCTTCAGAAGTACCCATTCATGGTTCCAAATTCCCAGTTCCTACGAGAGGGAAATTGTTAAGATTAGCTCAGTCAGGGTCTGTTTAGCTCAATCAGCTGTGCCAGCAGATATGGACATGACACCCCCAAGAGCCCCCTACTCCTGTTATTGGAGAGTGTACCAAGAAGAGTAAGAGTTGTCATGAGTTGGGCAGCCACCCTCAGGAGGTCTACTAGACTAGGTATAAAAAGGCTTTGTTGGGACACTCCCTTTTAACCTGTTCGAAAGGGGGCTTAACTTGTTGGAAATGGGGCTGAATTATGCTTGAGAAAACTAGTTCTTTGAGGGTATTAATGGGATTGGGGAAGCAAGATGGGAGCTCAGGTGGCGTAGTGCCTAAAACATTTGACTGCTAACCAGAAGGCTGGCAGTTCAAACCCACCAGCCACTCCTTAGAAGGAAGATTGGACAATCTATTTCTGCAGAGATACCCCTCAGAAACCCAAGGAGGAGTCACTGTGAATTGAATTGACTTGACGGCAGTGAATTTGTTTTTTTGGGGGGAAAGCAAGATGGATAGCAGCAGGTGCAGCCATTTTACCCATCACCAGAAGGTACAAGGGTTTTGGGGGTGAAGTCTGGGTTGAGGTGAAGGTTGTTACAAGGTTGTTGAGAGAATTAAATGATATGTCATGCACAGAAAACACTTAACCTGTGCCTGGTGTTTGGTCATCCCGCAGTGAATATTAGCAATGCATTGTTGTTGTAGTAATAGTAATTGCAAATACTCCATAGTTTTCAAAGGCTCTGTATTCAGTTTCAAAACTTGGAACTTTTTTTGCTTCATGAATTACGTAGAAGTCACCGAAGACAGAATGTTAAATTGACTGTTAATGGGTGGGGCAGCGAAGAACACCGTGTGCCCTTGGGCGCAACCTGTTCCTTTGCCATGCCTGGTTAGAAACCTTTGTCTTGAGCTGAAGAAAGGGCCTCTTGTGTAAGATGTTTCCTTCATTCATCTGCTCTTCTCCTGGCTGCTTTTTCTTACTTCCTGATACCTGTCTGTTTCGAAGTGGTCTGTTTCCCTGAGTCACCCTGAGGCTGGTCCATGCAGTCTATACTCACACAGAAGCAGCCTTGTGGAATGCCAGTTTCCAAGTCTTCTCTTGGCCATGGAGCGAGGACTTCAGGCATCCCAGGTTTGAGATCATGTACCAATTACCTGTCTGTGTGGTATACTTTTTCCCCAAAAGTAGAGGGCCCTGATCTTGGTGATCTCAAGAGAAGTTGAGCAGGAACACCAGGTGAGAATTCTGGTCAGAGTGAGAGCGTGTGTATGGGAGAGCTTTGTGAATGCCAGGTATAAGGGATAGCAATGCCAAAGCTATTACTCTCTTCACTGGCTTGGGGACATGGGAGTTGGTAAGAGCAGAGATCATCAGTGGTGACCCTTGAGAGCTAACCTTGGTTAGCTAACCCTGGGTAGAGCTTCCCGCAAGGGGTTACCTTCTGCCATCATATGTTGAAACTCATCCATCAGTCTAATTCATTCATTCACTCGTCCAGCAACTATTTATTGAGCTCTTATTATGTGCATAGTAATGGTTGAATAAAAATTACAAACTCCAGCCTTCATTGAGCTTCCATTCTAGTGTGGAAAACTGAAAATAAATAAATATAAAATATCCTGCACTAGTAGACTTGATGCTTTGGGACCCCAATGGTCAGCACCTGAAGCAGGGTTCATTCTTCTCTTTGTACACTCTGTTTTTTATCATAGCTTATGTCACACTGCTTTCCCCCACACACACACTGTGAGGGCAGGCATTGAGTTGTGATTGTTTCATTTTCCTGGTGCCTAGTTTGGTGCTTGACATGGAAAGAACACATTGTGGTAACCAAACCATGGGCAACCATATAAAGAAGATAGCAGTGAAAAGTCTTCCAGGTACCTAATTAGTGTACCAGTTTCCTGGGGTTTTTTCCTGGGATTAGTCTATTATGTATCATATAATAAATGATATGTGTGTGTAAATGCCCTTTTCACCTAACAATGTATCTTCAAGATCATTTCCTTTAAAAAAAAAAAAAAAATGACAGCTTAATACCATTATATGGATGTACCAGGCTTTATTTAACTGGTTCCCTAGTGCTGCTTATATCATTGTGTATAATCTTTTGCTATCAGGACCTCCCCACAGTGAACAGTGTTATTCATGTGTAATTCTCACATGTACAAGGTTTATTGCATGATAAATTCTTAAAAGTTCAATTTGTGGATCGAAGGGTATGACACTCAGAATTGATTTATAAAATGAAGGCAGCAAAGTGAGGCCCAAGGGTGGACTAATGACCTTGTCTAGTGACAAGTCACCAGTCCCTGTGGGTGTTCTGCTTGAAGATACTAAGCCTTAAAGCATCTGATAGCACTTCCTTTGTTTCTGCACCAGGATGGAGACTCCATGTTCAATCGTGCTAAGCTTCTCAACATTGGCTTTCAAGAGGCCTTGAAAGACTATGACTATAACTGCTTTGTGTTTAGTGACGTGGACCTCATTCCAATGGATGACCGTAATACCTACAGGTGTTTTTCACAGCCACGACACATTTCTGTAGCCATGGATAAGTTTGGATTTAGGTAAGAATTGTTCTGCCAGGGTCTACACGAAGGATGTTTCTCTCTTACATGGCAACTAGAAAATGTGATTCTTTCAACCCAGGGGTATCTCTGTAGACTCTGGGGAAGAATGCCTTCTCTGAGAAGTGAGTGCTTTTCAAGCCCAAAGTCAGTTATTATTTGAGGGAGAAAGAGGAGTCTAGAAACTGCTGTGATCTCTGCACATCCACACGAGCAGCATTTGTAATGCTTGGAGTGGCTCTTGTTTTTAGTTTCCAAACGGATGCTTTATTCCCTCAGCTTTTTCTCTTCCCTTCCCCACACAACCTGGAAAACAAATCAGGAATCATTTTTTCCCCCAGGGACTTCCTGGACCTGGACACCTCAGCAGATGTTCCTTGGCACTTTATGAGGAACATGATTACATTTCCCAGCAGCTTACAGGCTTCTGCTTCACCCCAGAGCCTGTCAGATTTCTCCACCGAATGCCTCTAGTGAAGAGGCTACTGATTTTTGCCCATGGGGATATGTGGTGAGTGGAGCATGATCGCAAGCACCACCAAGGTGGAAAATGGCTTGTATTTGTTGTTTTACCTTTAAAAAAAAAAAAAGGAACGTTTACATTCTGTTCCATAATTTATCCATGTTTGTATTAACTTAAAAGTATTTTAACTTAAATCACCTATAACCTTTCCCTCCCTGCTGTAAGTAAACTTGAAGCTCCAGGAAGCTGTGTTGCAGACCCCATGTATTGGGTGCCCCTGGCTTAGGTTGAGTACCAGTATGATTGAACTGTATGGACAGCAGCCGTAGCCCCTTTGTTAGATACAGCCATCAACAACTACTTTCCTTCAGACTCTTTTCATTCTCACCATTTCGTCCTGTCCCCACTTCTGGGGGATGTCAGGGCTATGTGATGAATCTGGGCATGCTATGAAGTCTTTCCCCCAGATATTCAGGCACTAAACCCGCTATCTTAAAGGTGGGAAAAATGAACTTAAACTTCACTTTTAGACTCTTCAGAGTGCTCTCTTACCTGTCCTCCCTCTCTGTATATCTTCTTTTCTTTGAGATAGAGATACACATTCATACCTTGACCCCCTTTTAATTTCTCCCCTGAAACATGGTGGCGAACCAAGATGTGACCCAAGTGATCACTTAATTCCTTACCATAATATCATCCTTACTTTACAGAGAACAAGTCAGGCTTGAGGGACAGGGCAGGTGGGTAAGAGGAAGCAGCAAAGACAGCAAACCCAATCTTACCAACTTAGCATATAGTTACCCTTGCAGTGCCTAAGGCAAAAATCATTTCTAGTAAAACACTGATTGCCAACAAACCTTATTGGCTTGGCCACCTCTGGTTCAAACCCCACATTAAAAGTGCAAACAGTAATGTGAGGTGTGCCAAAAGATAGTTGATCTGGCACCTAAGTGACAGCCCCTAATTACAGATAGATTATCTTGGATTCATTAAAGAATACCTCCAGGGATCTTTGCTTGCAAATACTTGCAGTCAGGATTCCTGAATGTATTTGAAAATAATAATTGCATCTTTTTTTTACATGGTCTGTATGATTTGGTTGACTTCCCCCTCCAGTCTGAGTCAGAGTTTTCCTTAATTTGTAAGATGGGTTTTTATCTCTTTGGATTCTAGTAAGAGCCCAAGTGGTCTGGAGTTACAAACCAGTAGTCACAAAACTGCAGGCTTTAGAGGACCCAAAAGAAGGCTTCAATATGTCCCCTAGGGCAGGTACATCCTGAGTTTTAACATGTCTCATCAGAGCTTACTCTGCATCCCTTAGGAGCCCGTGGTTCGTAACCATTGAGATACTGAAATAAAAAAGGATTTGGAAGGATGAGAGCCCATCTGGTTCAAAATATACAAAATAAGTTTACAGTCTGCATATGTGCTTTTTGCTTTATCCTGTGCATTATCCTGTGCATTTTGCTAAGTCAGGATAAGGGAGAAATTTCCAAGAAAAAAATTTATTTACCAAATTTTTAGAACCGTTACCTTGACTCTAAGGCTTGATGTCCGAGCTAGTCCACCTTTTGAAGAATGAAAGCTAGACTAGTGGATGGGCTGGACATGGGAAGAGGGGCATGACAGATGGGCACAAGATGATTTTCAGAGACTTTCTAAAACAATCTCAGACCCCAGAACACTCTAGATAAGGACTTCCTTTACAAGAGCAGAACACGGAAGCAAGCAGGGCCGTGGAGAGCAGATTCCTGAGCCGGTGAGGAAGAACTGGGCTTCTCCCACTCTTGGAACTGACAAATTTTCTAGATGACAACAGAAGCAGCACTGTATTCTTAGAAAGATGAAAATCCCACTTTGATAGCTGTGTTCTCTTTATGATAATCTGAATCTTGATATAAAAACAAAACAAACAAATCTCTAGTAAATCCCTTATCAAAAAGTCCCAGAGAATAAAGAATAACTTTAAAATAGCTTAGATTTTCAGCAAGCTTTATTTTGAAATGTCAAGACCTACTAACTACTGGTCCTTTGTGTGTGTGTGTTTTTTCCCCTAGCCTACCTTATGTTCAGTATTTTGGAGGTGTCTCAGCTCTAAGTAAACAACAGTTTCTCACCATCAATGGATTTCCTAATAATTACTGGGGCTGGGGAGGTGAAGATGATGACATTTTTAACAGGTAATGACTACTCAGATCTTTTCCTCTCCGTCTTTTTTTTTCACTTCAAAATTTGGGATCAGTGCTTGGTTATTCTGCAAGGGTTGGCCCTTGGGGGTTCGTAGTCCCCTCTCAGCCCAAGTTCTTAGGCATGTCCTCCTGTAGGTGCTGAAGTCGGTCTTTAAGAAAATGTGAACTTATTGAACAGAGCTCTGTGCCAGGTAGGCTCATTGGGGAAGACACAGAAGACCTGGACATGGGGTCTAGGCAGAAACAACCTGACTTCCATAGATAATCACACCTGCACAAACACTCTGCACCCAGATAGTAGTACTATTGTTATTGGTTACCTTAGAGTCACTTCTGACTCATGGGACCCCATGTGTACAGACGGAGTAGAACTGTTCCATAGTGTTTCAAGGCTATGACTTCCAGGGTGCCTATGGGTGGGTTCAAACTGCCAGCCTTTCAACTAGTAACTGAGTGCACAACCATTTGTGTCACCCATGGAATCCCATGTAGTGTAGTATACAGGGCTGTTATGACAGTACAGATGTGAATGGTCAAATCTTTCATTTTCCTAAAGACTGTCTTCAGTTGGAGAGGGAGGGCACAGGAGGGCAAGTATCTTAAGGTTGTAGGACTAAGAGGAGGGGTGGTGGTGTGTGTGGCAACTTTGTTCAAAGATAAGGGCCCTAACTCTTACTGTGAAATGCTTGGCTGCTAACCAAAAGGTCAGTCATTTGAACCCACAAGCCACTCTGGCAGGAGAAGGATGTTGCAGTCTGCTTCCGGAAAGATTTACAGCCTTAGAAACCCTATAGGGCAGTTCTACTTTGCCCTACAGGGTTGCTATGAGTCAGAGTTGACTCGATGGCAGCAGAATTTTTTTTTTTTTTTTTAAATACTGTCTGTAGAACAAGTAGTAAAAGGATAATGGGGAAGGAGCATGAGTCCAACCAGTGCTTTGTTGGGCTGAGTTCTGCCATGATGGCTATGGTATGGGCCCAGCGAGAAGAGTAATCAGGATGTGGGGTGGGGCCCACTAGCCCAAGAATAATCTCACACCCAGGCTATTGGACCTAAGCCTTGTGGCAACTCTATGATTGTGACTTGTTCCTTTATCCTTTGCAGATTAGTTTTTAAAGGCATGTCTATATCTCGCCCAAATGCTGTGGTTGGGAAGTGTCGGATGATCCGCCACTCAAGAGACAAAAAAAATGAACCCAATCCTCAAAGGTTTGTGCTGGTTCTGTTCATAGTCCTTCCCCCTAGAAAACTGGGCAGGCTATGGGAATGGGGGAAAGAGGATCACCAAAAATGGAGGATTCAGTCCATGGGGAGGGAGGGAGATAAAGAAGGAAGGTGGTATACTGCAAGCATTTAATGGCTTTGTTTTGACCCTGCCCCATTGCCCTTTCTCTCCTTGTCCATAGGTTTGACCGAATTGCACACACGAAGGAGACAATGCTCTTGGATGGTTTGAACTCCCTCACCTACAAAGTTTTGGACATACAGAGATACCCATTATATACCAAAATCACAGTGGACGTTGGGAAGCCGAGCTAGCATTTTGATACACTTAATAAGAGACTTGAAAATGGCCAAGGACCTCTGTTGTGTCCCTGCCAATCTGCTGGGCTGGTCCCTCTCTCATTTTTACCTGAGCGATAGGCCCCCCTCATTCATCAATCAGATGCCTTTCCAGATGGCCAGAACGAATGGGCTATTGTGCCCCCATCTTGCCTTGGCATGTGATTCCCTAGCTCTACATAGTATTTGTAATCGTAGGAACTGTCAGCATTTGTGGGGGGTTTCTCATCATGCTCACAGTGTCACCCCAAAGAGTCAGAACCGTACACAGCCAAAAATTGGGTGACTGGGACTCAATTCCCAGTAAGAAAACTGCTAAATTATTGTGAAATAGGTAAGAATTTTGCTTTAAATTGTGGATTGTGATGTTCTTACTACTTTGTGAAAGATTAGAGGGTGCTGCTAAAATTGGACTGGCGGATTTTTTTTTTTTTTTTTTTGGATTGTCATATTTTAGCAACAACAAAAAACCTACAAAATTTCAACCATTCTCTTTTTACCCTCCCCTCCCCCACCTTCTTTCAGTGGTATGCAACTCTTACAATCACTGTGTGTCTTTTCTTAGCAAAAGAATTTTAAAACTTGAGCCTTGGACCTTTTGTCCTGCTAAAGTGTGAATTGCAAGGCAACTTTAGCCACTGAGCAAAAGGCTTTGGTGTTCTCACATTTGGTGGCCTATTTCCAGGTTGTGTGATTTCTGAATGTAAAGATCTTTTTCTCTTCATTAGCAGTTTGTAGTACTTAAAAGGAAGAACAAATCAGGTTCTAATTGTGATCTAGTTTGATTTTGTGTTGATCCAAATTTGCATAGCTGTTGAATGTTAGATCATGACCATTTCTTTTTCTGGGCATGCTATGTAAACTTGAATTTCCTATGTATTTTTATTGTGGTGTTTTAAATGTAGGGAGGGGATTGAGCATTTTTTAGGGAAAAAAATAATGTATGATGTAGTGCCCATGAATGGGCCTTCGATTTAGCTGGCAGGCCAGGTGGTGTGAAGAGCATCCCCTCACTCCTTAATGAGGGCAAGCCCTCCCTATCAGCACTATCCTGCCAAACCTCTGGGGTAGGACTCTGCGAGCTGGGGCCCTCAGCCTCCTGGGCAGAGCTCCCTACCGCCTGCCCTCCCCTCCAATGGGCAGGGCAGAGAAAACCTCTACCTTCTTGGACTGACCCCTGGGCCTCCCTTCAGGGCTCACGGCTGTGGAGTTGTATAACAACAATCAGGTTTACCAGCCCTTAGTGCCTCCCCCATGGGTGGGCAGGCAGAGGGGCCCCTCATCTTCTGGTGCATGTGGAGGCTGGGGCCACCTACCTTGGAGGCTCTGCTGGCCACACTCCCTGGTCCACCCTGCATTGCCCGTTCTCCTTTCTCCTCTTCTCTTCCCCTGTCTTCTCCTTTCTTCTTTTCCCTTTTTGTTCCTTTGCCTCTTGCCTGTTCCCTAGAACTTGCCTGTGGCACTCAGGGTCAAACAGACTGTTCATTTTTTAGGGTGAATGTGCCTTTTTAATTAGAGATCTAGAAAGAAGTGCAGCTCCCTCACAGGAACTCTGGTGCCTAAAGCCTTTTCTTTCCCCTCAAATTTTTAGCAGGCTTTCTAGTGAGCAGCCTCACTCTAGTGAGGCTAACCCATGGGGATGCCCTTCCCCAGACCCACCTATTCTGGGACATGATGTCGAGCCTGCCTGGGATGAGGTGGCATGAGGCAGTTCCTACCACTGAGTGCTCTCCTCGGGCCAGGCCTTGCCTTAGATCATCAGACTCAGCTGCCTCATCCCAGGGACCCCACCACCACCACCACTGCCCCTGGACACCAGCCCTCAGTGTGGATGCTGAGCTGGTGCCCACTCCCAGTCTTACCTGTGCCTTTATCGCTTAGAGCATCTCAGATGCTAACTTGGTTCTTTTTTTCAGAAGGCTTTGTATTGGTTAAAAATATTTTCCACTGCAGAAGCAGCTGGGCTATGCAGAGTATTTCTGTCAGTTCCCCCCGCTCCTTCATAACGATGTTATTAAAACCAGGAGTGAGTGCACTAAGAGGGAGTTTGGGGAAATACAAAGAACAAAAACCCGTTTCTGTGCCCAGGCCTTGACTTTTCCAAAGTGCCTTAAAAGAAAGCAGACAAATGCCTGGGGTGGTAAAGTCTTTGTAACTTTACTCTTAAAATGAAAACTGACTTTTTTTTTCCTGTTACTTTTTCCTTCATGTTTGATGGAAATAGTCAAGTATGTGGTTCCTTCTCAGAACCAGAGGAAATACCATTTCACCTGTTCCCTCCCCCTTTGTTGACCTTCTGGTGCTCTCCTGGGGCCTCCTGGGCTCACAGCACACACATCCTTGAGATGCAGGTCCTGTTTCCTGTGAGGGGATTTTAGGCCTGTGGGTGCAGGGAGCATTTCCTTCTCCTGGGAGTTGTACCAGGAAGTTGTCTATGCTGTGCCTTTCTCTCCTGTACATCCCATTGCTGATGACCTTGTTTTGAAGCTGCCTTTAGGAAAGATCAGAGGGCAGACATGGCAGAGGAGGGTGAAGGAAGTACTGGTGCTGGGTCTCAGCAAGGGCAGGGTCTCTGCTGACTTCCAGGTGGGGCCTGTGGTGTCCCATACAGCCAGATGACAGCATTCAAGCCCTCGAGACCTGCTTTGCCATGTATTTTGATTTCCTGTGTATGCAAATGTGTGTATATACTATTGTGATGGAGGGGGGTGTGTGTCTGACTTTGGTGTTAAAAACAGACAAAAACTGTATTTTTGCCTTTAAAATCCAGTAATATAACGTGAATAAATGACCCTATGTTTGTAACCACACGTGGTTTCTCTTTTGACTTAAGGGATTTGGGCTCTCCCAGGGCTAGAAGGTGGTGACAAGGGCTGACTGCTGGTCAATGTTGAGAAAGGCAGAGTTCTGCCCTTGTACCTGCACCTTTCACCTCCATCAAGGAGTGTCCGGGACTGGGGGCCAGGGAGATGAAGTGATGTCTCACTTGGGTATGCTCTGGGTGAGTACACATACCTCCTGGGACTCAGCCATTTCTTCATCTGAGCTACATTTTCTTATCGATGAACATGGGATTAATAGCACTTACCTCTGTAATTTAAAAGAGATGATGTGTATAAAACAGTGGCTGACAACTCACAGGTACTCACTATATAGTAGCTGGTGCCACTGTAGAGTAGAAATTTTCCTAGCAGTTCTCTGCCATGTTCTACTATTTTCAACAAATGCCAGGATAGTTCGGCAGTAGTCTCAGAACCATATTCACAAGATGCACACCATGTGACTTTAAGGGCATTATCCAAAATAAAATTTCTTGTCAGCCCCCGGAAATTTTAACCAGATGCTGCAGGGAGTGACCCAGAGGGTTACTCAAGACAGGACGTACCCCAGCCCCCTCTTTTGGTGCCCCTGGGACCCAGCATGAGCAGCTCTCACAATGGGTGAGAAGAAACCACTGTGCATGACAGGTTGCCCCTCATGTCCAGACTGAGGGAGCTGCAGGCCCTGTCAGAGGGAAGCTGCAAATGAGGGGACCAGTTAGGAAACAGGAGCAAGAAGGACAACCCTGATAATCTCCCCAGAGCCACTGCAGCTGCCTCCACCCATCTGCAGGACTACTGTGGTGTTCTGGTGCCTTGGGCCTGAACAGAGGTCTCCTAAGGACTCAGATCTGCTGGTCTTCCCTGAGGACTCTGGTCCCCTGGACAAAGTGCTGTCTTGCAGGGCTTTGCAAGCTTTACAGTCTGCATTAGGTACAGATGAATATATACCAGTATGCTGCACAGATGCATACATACCAATATTCATGACACACCTGATGCGCCTGCATGAGAGGCCACGATTCTGGGCTCAAATCCTGCCTCTGCCTCTTACTAGTTCTGTGGCCTTAGCAAATGACCTAACCTCTCTCTGCCTCAGTCTCTTCATCTGTATAATGGGAATACCTATTTCATAAGGTTGTGATGAAGATTGAATTAATGCTTGTAAAGGCTTCAGAACAATGCCTGGTTCATAATAAGCGTTACAGGTTTAATACATATTTGTTGAAATGCCTGTGAGCAAGTGCTGACACGTACATACAGACAGCCATGTATACATTGTACACATTAGGCACATTACCCAAGTCCTGGGCCTTCCTTTTTCTTCTTCTAAGACATATATCTGAGACTTTACCCCATGACAGTGGGTGGGCAAACTTCAAGGTAAGGGACAACTGTTCGGGAGACACCTGGGGCCTCACTAGTGCTGTTTCCCCAACCCTCCCCACTTGATGGAAGAAGTTTGGATTGGTGGGCATGGGGAGAGAGAGGACTCAAATCACCTTGGAGGGCTCAAGAGGCCAGGAAAGGGGGAAGAAGGAGAGAGGAAACCAAGGACAGGCTCCTGGGCTGGCCATTTCCCTGAGAGGTGTTCTGTCTCTAATCTCCCACTTCACACAGGACCCAGAACCAAGCAGAGCCTCCTAACACGAATGTGGGTTTGGTGGGCACCAGGTCTCGCATACAGTACCTCTTTTCTGTGGGAGAATGTGATCTGAGTGCCAAACCACTAACCCAAAAACATCCCAAATAGGTCAGTGTCCATGGAGGTATCTGAAGGAGGCTTCCAGGCAAGAGGTGTTTGCTATTGGTGACAGAGGGAAGGTGTGTGGGGCTGTAGAGGGGAGAGGGTGAGGAAATGAGAAGATGACATTTCAGGTGTTCTCAAGTCTATATCACATTCCCAGGCCCCCTTCTCATGTTTCTTCCAGGAGGTAGAGGTTCAGACATTCCTTGGGACCAGTTTGATTTTAGAACTGGAACTTCTTACCCTATCAGAAAGGAAATGAGGTTGGTCTGCTGAGCTGGTCATGCCAGACAAGCCTCATTTCCTTCTCTGGCAGAGTGCCCAGGCAGGGAAGATGGCTGCCCTTGTCTGATCTTCAGGACTTGTGCCTGGGATGTGAAGCTGAGGAACCTGCAGGGCACGATTGTCATGGGGTGTGAGAGGGTCAGTAGACTGAAAGACCACAGAGTGTGGACACTTCAAGAGCATCTATCTGCATTTCAGCACGTTGCGTGCCAGAGTTGCCAAGTGCAGAGACAGGATGTGAGAATATCATGATGTATTTGAGCAGAGTGTGCCAGGTCAGCGGGCAGAGAGCCATGCAAACGATGAGCATTCCT